ACCTGGGTAGGAGATCAGTCACTTTATTTCCTATGCAAAATTCTCCTATTCTCCATTAATAAAATAATTAAATTCCCTGCAGTGTAAAGTATTTATTGGTTAATTCTTCTTGGGACTCGCTTGTCTTGAGTTTGTTCAATGTTTTGTAAAATTCAAGATTAGGCTTATTATATTAAGAGCAGGATTCAAATCTATTTCGAATCTCATAATGGCATCCTCTCCTGCTACAAAATCTCGTCCTGGATTGAATACAGGAAGACAAAATTAGTCCTTTTCAAGAAACAATCATCAAAGATCAATGACCATCTTTACTTGGGGGAAAAAAGAAACAGGCCAAATTTCAAGATAGCGCAGACAGTCAGTGAGACTGGAGTGCTTGAAGCTGGTGGAATTTTTTTAAGTCATTCACAAATACTATATCTACCCTTGACAGGTCATTTCATTCTATTTAGCACTTTTTATTCTCTGTGGTTTATAAGCTCTTAAGCAAATGTAAGAGGTAGGAAAAGCTAACGCGTCTGATAATACACTATATCAGGCTGACAACCTACTGAATTTCCCTTGTGGTGCTAGCAAAATGCTGTTCCAAAAAGTAATAATGCATATGAAAAAAAAAAAGGAGAAAAGGGGGGAAAAAAAGGATCATAGAGATCATGCCGTCACATTTAATTTCAGAGAACAAAACCTGAAGCTGATTTCTCTTTAGATCAGTTGTATACAGTTGGAACATGGGTGCCTAGCACTGCGACAGAGTAATATGATCTGAGCTTTAAATAGCTGCCAAATAACCATGTGGTGGCTGGCAGCATTAAACGTGTTGCAATGAGAGTGATCTGTTTCAAAGTAAAGCCACATAACAGAGGATAAGTCAATCTGATGTGGTATAGAAAAGGAGGGGGGAACGTTTTTCATTATCTTTCTGGGTTTCTTTCTGTATTAAATGTGTTTCCATCTTAAAGATGCATTAATTTTAGATCTTTTTCTTAAACTGTTTAAAACCTGAGTCGCGTGCAGGTCATTTCAGAGGACATCTCCTTGGGCACCCAGGGCACAGCGTGGGGCGGGGAATGGTGTGCCAAATGTGAAGCACCACCGCTGAGACCATCCCCTCGCTGCAACCCAGCTCAGAGCGGCTGCCTCCCAGTGTGAAGGCACCTTCTGTGTGCAGGGGCTGCCCCCAGTTTGTACTAAATGCATCCTTGGCAGTTTTTAGGAACAGATAAGGAACAGAGCTACGGCAAATAACATGGGGTGACTTCTGCTCCAGGCCCTCCCCTTACCCTCACAGTAAAATGTAGAGCCTTGCAGCACTCCAGGAGGCCCCTCTGGGCTCTCTGGGATGTAGTGACAAGCCAGGTGCAGAGTTTGGAGGTGTCTAACACATGAGATGCTGCCAGCCCTCCATTCCTTCTTACCTTCATGTCAAATGGCTCTCCTGATCCCTATTGTCAACGTGTCTTCTGGGTAGATGAGCCCCATTGTGGACTGGAAAGACAGACCAGTGTAAACTGGTAACATGAGTAAGAGACATGGAGGGAAAAGTGGCACTGTAAATACTTGTGACTCTTCATCCCTTCTGTCACTTTTGATTATAGATAACCGATTTCTGTTTTCAATTTCAGTATCTCCACCGACTTCAGCAGCAACAATCCAGATTTACTCTAAGTTAACACAGCAGAATTTCATGTGAATACACTTTATCTGGTCTTCACTGCTTGGAAATCATATTGCCAAAAGTACAGATAGGAACAGGAGAGCCGGAGGAAAGCCCAGCTGCTGCATCAGAAGGTAAATAGCTCATTTAAGAGGTGCAATATGACTTCCTAAAAGATAATAAGCACAACATACTTTGCAGCCAGTTAGGCTTTTGCAAGAATGGGGACAATTCTGACACTACTTACGATCGTCCTACTAGCAGTTAACTGGCATGCTACAGAGTGCAGACTCAGTTGCAGCAGCTAGGCACCCTGCAGAGAAATAGAGCAGGCTTTCTTCTGAATTTCTTCAAAGGAGAACATTGCTTCACCTCATTAACATAAATGTCAATAAACAGCCACATATTTCATGAAGGTCAGCCCCAGTGAAACTTCCAGCAGCAACCCCAATGAGTAACAAGGATAAACCCAGGGCAAATCCTTTTCTGACCGTTTTTGTCCGCAGCTGCCTTTGCCACGTTGTGTCAGCGCGTCCCCCAGGAATCCACAACAGCTGCGCAGCGGGCTGGCAGAGGGCATCGCAGAGGGACACTCACCCTCCTTTCTCTCCCTCCTTTCTTACCTCCATCCCTTCATTTTCTCACTGCCTCCTTCATGGGCCATCACAGTCCTCACCATGTTTGCACTGGACAAGCACGTGATTGTCAGATTGAAAGTAATCAGAAAATGCTTCTTATCTACCTGTTCCTTTTACCATCAATTTTCCAAACATGTTACTTAAAAAAAAAATCTCTTTCCTTCCAATATGACCACAGGCTATTAAGCCAGGCTGGCAATTAAAAATAAAAACCCCCAAACCCTATACATTTGTGAGGAATACAGTTCTTTGACCAATTTCACAGAATATTTTGATTATGGTATTTAATCCCCTTTACAATCTTTTACTCAACGCTAATCATGACAATCCCTGCATCGCCGCCAAGGATTTTCTAGACAAAAGCATATCTGGAAGAATGCCACGGAGTGAGCCTCCTTAGCTGGCCTGTCTTCCCTGACTTCTTACAAACCCACTTCCCTGCACACAGTTCTTTCATGACATCAGCACAAGAGTTAGACCAGGCTTTTATGTAATATCTATACAGAAATGCCTCCCCACCACCCTCAACCATCGTTCCCTGGTCTGCAGCAGCTACTTATTGCACATCATATGGTAAGCTACCTACAGGTTTTGGAGGGAGCAAGCAACCTATCCACACCATTTCAGAAGGAACCTGACTCTCATTTCTGCCATTAGGAGAAGAAGGTAGCATCCAATTAAAGCGAATGGATAGAGCTACAGACTATTGCCAAAAGTGTGAGTTTCAGTGAAGAATTTATGAGTACTCAAGCAATTCCTACTGACACCAGAATGGCTTCCTGAAGTTTCTAAGGAAACCCCCAGAAACACCTTGGATGTTCAACAGCCATTATGCCCACAGTCTCCATTACGCCCGCAGTCTGACCCGAGGGGTTGCCTCCAAGAGAGGCTGCCTCGCACACAAGAGTGTAGCTAATTTAGCTGCATAATGGAGAGAGTTCTGAAGATGCACATGGGCTGAATTAAGGGCTCCACGGGAGCCTTTGGCTCATTCCTTGCAGAGTTTATTAGTTGCTGCTGCACACATGGTTAGTCTTGCTGGAAGAAGTCCAGCTCTGAGGCACCTCTCAATTCCTCCAGCTTCTAAATGTTGCAAGAAAGTGGCTCAAGCGTATTGCCCCCTCTAAGCTCTTGTGGAGAAGGACTCTCCCCTGCAGAGAAGCAGACAGGGTTTGGGAGGGGTACCTAGTCAAATAACTCTTGATTATTGAATTTACCTCTACAATTACCAGTCAGTATCTTAGACTGTAAAGGGGGTAAATACCAACAGATTGTATTATTTGAGAAACAGTATGTGATTGTGTAATTAAGGACAGGAATATAATACCATATGCACAAGGGGCAGGGTTAATTTCAGCATTTCCTGACTAACCAAGGGCATTATGGTGTAACCCTAATGTTCTCCGGATGGCTATCATTTATATGGAGTTCATATACATGCTTATGAATATTTGGTTAAAATTCACCCATCATACTCTCTGACACAGTAATTAAAACCACCATGTTAGCTGCCAATAAAAATATTTTTGTGATTTGGTAATTATTCCAAACCCCATAGTCCCAGCTCCCCTACCCCCGACCCTTGTTGTCTTCCTGTTCTATAATGTATAAAGCTAATCTTGATGATGGAAAAATAAATAAGTAGCAGGGAAGGCTGGAAAGCTTCCAATCACAAAAGCTCCCGAAATGGGAGCAACATCCGATCTGGCCCACCACATCTTCTAGGTAGGCACTCCTTTCCTGCCTTTTAGTGATGCTTTCAGTATTCATAACAGCTGTGGAATTAAGCATTATGAACAAGAAGAAACCAACATGCAGTCTTTATTTTTCCCCATCAGTCCCAAACTATTCTGCATTGAGTTACAAAGTGAAAACCAACAGACTCTCAGATGGATTTAATTTCAACTTGGGCCCAATGCCAGACAAAGTTTCCCTATTGTTAAAACTCCACCCCATCTTTTCTAGAGCATGCTTACAGTTCCATCCTCACCCATCGTCCAAACATATACATGCACACACATACACATAGAGAACCAGCCACTCTACAATACAGAACCAAATCCATCTCCTCTGCTGTCTTAGCTAGTCTCATTGCTTTCCCTGGGATGACTAGTAGGCAAGTTGGATTTGGACTATAAGGGCGATTTTTAATATTTGGGAAAATGAAGGCTACATAAAACATACATTTTCATGTCCTAGATATTGTCTTCATAATAAACCTTTTTTAATAAAAAAGTCATTTTACACAACCAGGAAAATGTTTGTTGGAGGAGCCAATTATTCCATTCAAAAATAAAAGGTTTAAAACTTGATTAAAATATTAATGCTATAATTCAAAGTACAATTCTGGCATAACTTCAGCTAGTGATTTAACTCTGGCATATTGGCTTACAGAATCATGCAACAAACACGGATTTCAGAATACAGAAGTATACAGCTTTCAAATGCATACAGAAAAGAGAAACATGTAACGGAAGCAGTTAAGCTTTTACATGTACGGACTAGCACCAGATCGCTGTTCACGGCAATTGTCTTCTCTCTCGACCTCTTTCCATGGATGCTGCATGAACAACTGCACTCTATTTTTATAAAGTGCAGACATGTTTGCTTGTATCAAAGCTAAAGCAAGTAGTGGAAAACAGGAGAGGAGGTAGATTGAATTACTGTGTTTGAATGTTTGTTTTCTCCTCCACCTTGTACCATCCTCCACAAGCAGAAGCACAAAGTAAATGTTAAAAAACAAATGTATAAAATGTTGATTTGGCCCACTTCATGTTGGGCTTTTGGTTGCAGAAAATTTTTGTCTTCCTCTGTTGGCAAAACTGCAAAAATGCTGCTAATAGTACAGTATGGAGAACCATGTGGGTACTTTCCAAAGAATTAAAAACAACTAGTTAGGACTAAAGGTGCTTTCTTCCTGTATTGAGTTTTGTGTCCTTTACCCTTAAACAAGTAACAGAACTTCCAGAAGTCTGCCTGCACACTTAGGATCACTATAATGGTAACAATGTATAAAATTGTGTTCCAGTTTACAACTGTCATGAAGTTTCACTAGGATTCCTGTATTCCCTTCAGCAGCGTATGACTAGTCAGAGTGTAAATATATGGCACGCCCTACCAACAAGAACAGAATTCCTGCTAATAAAGCAAAGAATACTCCTATAGGAGCCAGCATAAAAGACCAGCCATAGTGTACATAAACAGCAAAGTCTGGGCAATCCATTTTTTTCATGTTTTTGTAGTTTTCCAGATCAGCCATCGCCTGGACCCAGATGACATACATCACGACTACCATCGAAAACAAGACACCTGGAAAAGAAACACCAGGTTTTAACAACAGAGTGTGAGACAAATGCTGGGTGCATTTACTGTAATACCCAGAAACCCATCAACGCTTGAGGCCTCATCTGCAAGGCACGGTCAGCCACCACTGGATATTTTTTTGCCTTTGGCTTCCTCTAACAAGCACTATCATCTCCACCTTGCTTCCGATTTGCACTGAAAGGCATACTCCCATGACAAAGGATATATCTGGTTTTGGTGGGCAGACCGAAACACAGGTTTGTTTACAGACAAAATTCAGGCAGGTATTTACTGTTTTGAATTCAGGAGCCGAAGGAGGGGGAAGGAGGGGAGACAGGACAGGATGACCTGGAAAAAAATACCTACTTTTGCTTCCCAAATTCTGACATTGTTTCTATCACAGTGTTTTGGATGAGATATGAAAAGGAGAAAAGGGTGGGAAACCTTTCTATCATCTTCACCTCTCTATATTTTGCTTCTTTTTTCTTATGAAAAGGGCTTTGTTTGGAACATACTACCTTCAGAGTATGCTACTCAAATATTTTGCAGACAAATTCAGATGTATTTCATTCAAAATCCTCCACATTAGAAAACAAGTTCCTGGTATAGGAACAAAACCCAACAGTAATCAAATAATAGCTATGAAGCAGGCTATTAGTATTAACCTCAGATTGGATACAAGTTTCCTGGAATTAATCCACCACATAATTCACAGCCTTTTCCCAACCACTCCTCTGAAAGGCCTTTGGATTATATACACATGATAGTAATAGGAGCACATGTCCTTAAAAACTTTGTTAATCTCTTTGTTACTATGCCCCAGAAGGAGATATAAGAAGAAAGTACTTTCCAAAGTATCAGTTGCATGCCTAATATTTCATTTCACTTTAGAGGAATGTGGACACTTGAGAAACGCAAGCCTGCAGCACAGATGCTCTAGCAGATCTGCTGGAAAACTGAGGGCACAAGTTTGAATTTTTTGCATGCTCCAGCCTGTACCCACTTGGTCCTTGAGCTCCAGCTGTCACAGTACAGTTACAGCAGCAGGACTATCTATTCCAACATTAAAATATTTGGGGGACACCACCCCATGGTGTTTTTATCCCAGGATGTTTAGGTGCCTCATTAAAACCACAAGCCAGTGCACACTCCTGGGAACACTTATTGGCAAACTGGAGTCTACAGGCTGTACAGCAGCAGAGTGTAAGTCAAAGGTATTTGTGGTCTCTTCCCCATCCTCCTAAATACTTGCATTGCGACCTTGAACAAATGTGACATTTGTGGCAAAACCCCCAAATGCACTTTGTAAGCACCCATGGACAGGCATTTGCTTCCAGACCCACCAGTCCTGGTAAGCTTTCATGGTTACCTTTCCCCGTTCCCACCCTGAGATGCTGCCTCACCACCTCCTTTCCCTGCCCTTCCCAGCTGCTTACCAGGGAGCAACTCTTGCCATCACTCCCTCATTTCCTTCAGGCAAAATCAGACAGGTTAGCTGCAGCAGTTTAAATTGGTGATCTGGTGACATTCTTGTTGATACTTTATTGTCAAAATGTAATACCTTTACATTCTGGACATCCTGAACATCTGACAGTTGAGAAGTCACAACTCAATGTTTGTGAACACTACCTTTTGAATCCCACCAAAAAATGAGCTGAAGTAATTAACCTGAGGCATAATCAAAACATGACTGAAAATCCCAAAGGATCTGCAATTTTTATGAGGCTGAAAGGAGAAAAACTAAATAAAGAAGGAGGCAGACACATTTCCTGTCTATGAAATATATTTCCAGGATTACATTTTTTGCTAGGGCTCAAATTACTAACAAAGTTTAAAAAAAAACAACACAACTCTAAAAGCCATAAATTCAATTTTGAAAGTATTTTACCTAGGTAAAACTCAATTTTGATGGAATTTAGTGCTGCGATTGTATTAAACATACAACTGGTGAAACAATCAGAAAGAAGGATCACCTTAGGGCCAGACATATAGAATGAGAAATTAAATTTAAGACTCTCCAAATATAAGTCAAATTGAGCAGAAGATTCCTATAACAGAACACCTAATGATAACAGATAATGTAGCAACACAGGAAAATTAGAACCAAACAGAGGTAGTAAGTTCTGATGTAAAAAGTAAAGAGATTCAGGGCCAAATTCATAAATGGGGTTATTAGAGACATGGAGTTTGCTCAAAGTTTCAAAACTTCAACAACAACAACAACAAAAAAAATAGCCCAAAGAATTGGAAAGATACATTGATAATATAGCACAATCCATACAAACATTGGAATTTACTTCTTCAGACAGCTGTGTCTGTGCATTTTCAAATGTCTGTATTCTTCTATTGATTCTCTACATCAGGGCAAACTTAGTCCAAAACAATAATAATTACAGAAAGTAGTGATGTGCATTCCCTTACTGTAGCAGCAGGTAAGTGTAACAAGGCCTTGCACATCTGGAATGCTTTTGACCTCTGGCACCCTGGGCCGACACAAAGCTACATAGCCCAGTTAGACAGAAGCATCTGCCATTAAAACAAAGCTCATTCAGAGGTGCTTTAATCTTGAAATGGGCACCCCTTGCTCTTCAGGCAGTCTGAGGCAACACCCTCTAGGTGGTTAAACTAGAGCCAACTCCGTGTAGGTGCAAAATAGCAAGCCAGTGTTGCCAGTGGTAAAACAACTTCAGGGAAGCTGAAATCCATCCGGTGATTTCACAGCAAGCTGCTAATACCTGTGTGTGGCAAATTGTTGGGTATGGAAATTTGCTGAAGAAATGTATGTCAAGCAGAGATAAATGTCCTTCTTTAAAAGAAAGAAAAAGAAAGGGAGAATATGTAAACCCTCTTAGTTAATTAAGGCACTAGAGGAGAATTTAAGGGTTCTCACTATCTGCTAATGGAGGCTAATTAGTAGGTACATTGCTTAGTGTGTTCAAGAAATGTCTTGAACAGTAGAATCAGGCTAAGTAAAAACTGACCATGTCCTGTTGCCTCCAACAGCATTTCATTCGTTAGTGCTCTTTTTGTCTAATTTTCACAGTGATGATTTCATGGGAGTTAAGCACTGTCACAGGAGTTTACTGAGGCTCCTATATGTTACAAATGGTAACAGAGAAAAAGGACAACAGAAGCATTTCTTAACAGAATTTCTTAACCCTCTAAACAGAGGGCAGACCCTGTTTCGTCCATTTGGTCTTGTTTCCTAAGATGTTAGAGTACATTAGAAGCAGTGGTGAGAGCAGGGAAGCAGATTTTGTACTTCTATTATCACCGATGCATCTACTTAAAATGTTTGATGCTTAGGGCCAGAGGCATTCCTATGCATTAAGCACTTCAGGTTGTGCTTAAATTTAAGCACATGTGCAAGTCTCTCTGACTTTAAGGGTTTTTCCTCCTGGCACCCACACTGATTGCATCAAAATACCTGATTCAAAGGCACGTTATGATGAATGGTTACTAGCGCTTAAATATTTATCTGGTTTTTAGATTCCAAAAGAATACTGTTTCTTTTCAGATTATATGATTTCATGTCTGTTTGCATTGTCTTATTTTAACAAAATGGAGGGATGTTAATGGTTCAAGAAACATTTGAAAAAAAAGCAGTACCAAGAACAGAGTACAAACAATTTGTTCAGCAGACTGAGTAGCATGTAAAATTCAGATACACATAACGTGAAGTATTTTTTGCAGGCCACAAGATACCAATTTGATCTATGCATTACGAACTGTAATAGTCATGTCAAATAACAGTCAGCACTTTATATGGTATTTGCAAAAATATAGATCTGGGTTTATCTCCATTTTGTAGAAAGAGAAATGAGACATAGAAACAACTAATCTGATATTCAGAGGTTCTAAGTATCCAAGCTTTGCTCTCAACTGTGGCTTTCAAAGGAGTTTTGCTTAACATGTAACACATACCATAACAGAGTTGCTAATAAATACAAGTCTTCTGCCTCTCCATCCTACTTTGTGCCTACATCTACACTATTTCTGCAACATTCTGCTTTGGTTATTTATATAAGTCAGTGAAGTACCTTTCACCAGAGTGTACTTAAATGAAAGGAAAGGCATTGGACTGAAGGCAATACAAAATCTTACTAAGCAGTTGTCTATCTTGGTCTGCTTAAGTGTTTTAAACTAGCTCCCATCACTGCAAAATCTCACTGCCTCAACTGAAATGTAGGGAATACAGTATTTTTGAAGAAAAATCATATATTGCAAAAAGTTTAAAATTAGTCTATTTCCTTACATCACCCCCATCACAAGATTCTGACTTGATTCTGAAGAATCTAGTACAGTCACTGGAATATTAGTAACTCAGAACCATTGGCAGAACCCTTAAGAGAGGTCAGAATTAGACTCTTTATCTGCTGGAGAATATTTTCTTAGATAAATTTTATGCTGCTTGTGGAAGACAATGGGGATAATTCCTCTATTTATATAACTACACTACTGCTATTCCATCCTACTTCTGTATCCACAAGTTTGCCTCACTAGCTCATCTCTTTCCTTCAGAATATTAGTCATGCCAGTAAGAGTTGAGAAAGCATCCATTACAAGTGTAATAGGAATGCCTGTTCATTATGGAGGAGAATATACTAAAATGAATATATATTTATTCTGGGAAATCTGTTCCTGCAGTCTTGTACTGACTATCTATTGTGAATGTCATGAACTCTCATAGCCAAGCTCCAAGGCAAAATTACTGAGATTGAAAAAAAAACCTCCACAATTTCATGAAGCAATTATTTTTAGGAACAATGTGTGCTATGATGTATTTCTATATTTTCGGCATTTAGACCTTTTGCATAGTGTGCGGGTGTCCATTTGCCCTTGCCTTTTAGTGAATATAAAATAAAACAGCAGTTGCATGAATCAGGAATGATGGGGGAAATTATTCCTAGAACATGAAATATGTCTGAAAGAGATTAAGACAAATAAATACTTCCCTCCCCCTCCTTTTTCTTTCTTTTTTTCCATTTTGCATTTTTTTAAGAACA